CATTGGCTAAATATGTCACTGGGAGTAAACGGTTGGTGAATGTTTGTCCCAGTATTAGGTCTGAAGCAGATTTTCTCCCAAACATTCACAAGAATTTGCTCCATTTATGTTACCACCAGTGTTGACAAACTTCCCAGTCCCTGTTGATTAGAAGCAGTACTATAATATAATGCCTACACCACCATGCTTGACAATAGGGATGATATTGAGTGAGTGATGCACTATCTTGGGCTAGTGTCAAATGTAAGGGTTTTGCATTTAGACCAAAATGTTCAAATTTCTTTTTATTTGAACACAAATTATTTTTTCACATTTGCTGTATTACTTAGGTGCTTTGTTGCAACTCATCCCAATGTGAGATTTGAGACATTTCTTTTTCAGTTCCATACAAGCCTGCTTTGTGGAGTGACTAGGACTTTGTTGACTGATGCATTTTATAGACACTGAACTCTGCAACTCTTTCAGAGTTTCTGTTGGCCTCACAGAAACATCTGTAACCAGTTTCTTCCATGTTTGGATGAACAGATTGATTTTAGACATGTCTGGGTGTCTTCCACTTCTTAATGACTGACTTCACCATGCTCAAGGGGGTCATTAAATGTTTATATACATTTGCTAAACTGTATCTTTATATCATTTTATTCTTGAATTGTTTTTCAAAACTTCTTGGTCATTTTTAATCTTTAATTAAAACTCACCATCTAAGTGACAGATATTAAAGAGATAAGTACATTTATTCTGAAATCATATGATCTTCTGATATTGCACACAGACAGAGGCCACTCAACAAATTGTGTGGCTGATTAAGGTATTTTTGCAAACATAAATTAATTTAGTTTTGCCACAGCAAAGTGTTTAAATACTTCTGCAATCATGGATTTTCCATTTTTTCTTTCATATTATCTTTTTACATTCAGTTTTTACATTCAAAAGCTAGACATCATGCTGCCATCCAAATAAATTCAGGAACAAATGAGAAACAGAGTAATTGAGATTTATCAGTCTGGAAAAGGTTATAAAGCCATTTCTAAAGCTTTGGGACTCCAGCGAACCACAGTGAGAGCCATTATCCACAAATAGCGAAAACATGGAACAGTGGTGAACCTTCCCAGGAGTGGCCAGCTAACCAAAATTACCCCAAGAGCGCAGCGACGACTCATCCAAGAGGTCACAAAAAACCCCACAACAACATCCAAAGAACTCCAGGCTTCACTTGCCTCAGTTAAGGTCAGTGTTCATGACTCCACCATAAGAAAGAGACTGGGCAAAAATGGCATGCATGGCAAAGTTCCAAGATGAAAACCACTGCTGAGCAAAAAGAACATAAAGGCTTGTTTCAGTTTTGCCAGAAAACATCTTGATGATCCCCAAGACTTTTGGGAAAATACTCTGTGGACTGACGAGACAAAAATTGAACTTTTTGGAAGGTGTGTGTCCCATCACATCTGGCGTAAAAGTAACACAGCATTTCAGAAAAGGAACATCATACCAACAGTAAAATATGGTGGTGGTAGTGTGATGGTCTGGGGCTGTTTTTCTGCTTCAGGACCTGGAAGACTTGCTGTGGTAAATAGAACTATGAATTCTGCTGTCTACCAAAAAATCCTGAAGGAGAATGTCCGGCAATCTGTTCGTGACCTCAAGCTGAAGCGCACTTGGGTTCTGCAGCAGGACAATGATCCAAAACACAGTGAAGACTTTGGAGTGGCCTAGTCAAAGTCCTGACCTGAATCTGATTGAGATGTTGTGGCATGACCTTAAAAAGCGGTTAAGGCTCGAAAACCCTCCAATGTGGCTGAATTACAACAATTCTGCAAAGATGAGTGGGCCAAAATTCCTACACAGCGCTGTAAAAGACTCATTGCCAGTTATCGCAAATGCTTGATTGCAGTTGTTGCTGCTAAGGGTGGCCCAACCAGTGATTAGGTTTAGGGTGCAATCACTTTTTCACACAGGGCCATGTAGGTTTGGATTTTCTTTTTCCCTTAATAATAAAAACCTTCATTTAAAAACTGCATTTTGTGTTTACTTGTGATATCTTTGTCTAATATTTCAATTTGTTTGATGATCTGAAACATTTCAGTGTGACAAACATGCAAAAACATAAGAAATCAGCAAATACTTTTTCACACCACTGTATTTTTATAGTCTATTCTCACTGCAGTAGTACTGTATGTTCAATAGATGAAACAGGTGAACATGGCACATTTTGCTGAACATTTGGCATACTACAGCTGATGACATTGTCAATAATTTGATGTGGGGAGCTGTGTCAGCATGAAAGTGAACACGTATAAATTAATTCCACACAGAGCGTGAAAAAAAAGAAAAAAATGCACAAGGTTTTAGCCACATTTGAAGAGCCTGCAATGTATCAGACGAAACATTGAGTTTTTTTATTTCTTTTCTTTTCTCCACTTGTTCATGATCAATAATCGCAGTACACATCTCATTTGAATCCATCATATTTCACCTGTTATGTAAAACCTTTTTTATATGTACAGAACTCCCAGATAAAAATGTTTATTGAGAAAGAACTTTTTGGATTTCAAGTGTTTCAAGTGTTGATTGTTGGCAATTACAGAATATAGTCTCCCTGTGTTGATTAATCACTCAAATTAGAGACTTGTGTGTTAGGAATGCAATTATATTAAAAGAGCTGACAAGTTTGTATAGATTTTTTTCTAGGTAGTAAACTGTTTTGGTATTTGTGCTTGCAGTTTTTGAAATTCTGACTACAGTGCTGGTAAATGTCTGATAAATATCATAGTAGTTGAGAAAAACTAATGCATCAGAAAATGGAAATGATTTCTTACATACACAAACTGCATTAATATGATCACATCTTCAATTGACTGAAGCTATGAATATAAAGAAAAACCTGTTTTCAAACTTTCCTTGATCCTATTATCTGAATCTTGTTCTTTTAACATTAGAAAATACAATTAAGTTCATAATAAATAGGATCATATGTTTAAATATGTCTAGTGATCAAATGAATTTAAATGCCCAAATTTAGTTTGATATAATACTGCATGTAGTACAGCTGATTCATGGAGAATTTTGATCAAATATACTAATTCATCCTTTAAGATATCCTTAGAATACAAAATGTCTGACTTTTACGACATTTTGTAGAGCAGCTGAACTCAAAAAATATTTTTTGCAGAATGTCTGGTGGGAGGACATGTGCAAATCCTGCAATTATGAAGACACACAAGGTGATTTTTTTTTGTTGTTGTTCTTTTCAAGTCCACTCTCAGAGGGTTTCCTCCAAATTTGACATTATATTTCTGAAAGGAACTCCACCCATTAATAAATAAATACCATTGAGCTCTTTTTGAATACCATCCATTAGTTCACAGCGCCAGTCTTTTCTTTGTTCAGATTCAAACCTCCCTGCAAAACATCTTGTCTGGGGGGAAGGTGGACAAGAACCTCTTCTGGGCAAAATCTTATACTGTAAATTTTCTTGACATTTCTTATCTGTGATCGTTCCAATGAATAGTTTCATTCCATTCGTGTTGTCAATGTCATCTTTTCAAAAGTCATGAGTTTCCAGTTACATGCAAACATTTAGAAACTATATATATTACATTAGGTTAATCATCTTTGTTATTCCATGATATCCATAATAATACTAAATTGGAATATAGGATGTATGTGACAGATATTTGTGTTTTACACAAATCTAATGTGATAAAATAACAAAGCTATTGTCTTTGAGGACTCTGTAATTAGATTCAAAACTGGCTTTGGTTTTCCTACAGTATATAGCTGCTGTACATTTTCAAGTGCTCAAATACTCCAGCAATGTGCTGGAATATACTGTAATGAACTAAAAACAGAATATGTTCATGCCCAGAATATATATTCATTCTCTTAATTGGATAGCATCTGTAATTAGCTTGTCAGTAATGTTAGATTGAATTGTTGTCATTGCTGCAAGCTAGAATTCCCTGAAGATAAAGCTAAAAGAGTTGAAATAGATAATCAGACAACTGGTGATGGGATTGTTGATTGTGCTTCATTTCCTCAAATTCTCTTTTCCAAATGTTAACTGCTACAGTATGTAAGATGTTAATGCTTTTGTAATCTAAAACCTGAAGTTCATAAAGTGTATAAAACCAGTTATCATGACAAAGGCCAGTTATTATCTACAAATGAGCATGGATCCTAAATTAAATGTTGCAATTATTCTGTTAAACTGTCTTGAATTATTGAGGTAGGCATGTTCCAAATGTTCTGGCATTATGTTCCAGTCCATATGAAGACCTGATCAGTGTGTTGACACCCACTGATCTGTACCACTGTTGTCCATCATGGTTAGAAAGTATAAAATTGTTATTTTTTAATTGTTCTTTTAAAATATCTTTGACCTCTCACTTCCATTAGAATACTGCTTTACAAAATTCCCATTCTCTTCTTGTCAAAGAAAAATGTAGTTCTCCCAGCACTCAAAGCTATGTTTTACTGTATTATTGCAAAATGCAAATGTCATATTGAAAATGTGTTATTAAAATTAATTTTGATCACAGAAAAAGTGAAGGGGTATTACATGGAAAGTAATGTAATAGATGTTTTGCTTCTCTCTAACTTTTAATCTGAAAAGTACATTTGACAGCATTGAGCAACAATTATACAATTTAATAAGCTGTGCCAAAGTTTGTTAAACATCTGTTACAAAATGTCTGGCATAAAATTGAAATTCTGTATCGAGTTTCTTTTCATATTGTCTGTAAATTATACAAAATTAGATCTCCACATCTCTCAAAGTGAGACAAAAATGATGCACTTTCAAAACGATGCACTTTTCATTTTTTTAAAAACAAGTGTGTTTTGTTGATAAGAAAACCCACAAATGTTACAACTAGGTAAAATGTTTTATGTATAAACAGATTTTCAAGTCACTTCAGTGGTTTGTCTTTCTAACAGTGGTATAACTTCTTTCCCTGTGGTGTCTTACTCTATGTGTTGATCTCTTCTGTCTGTCTGTGCAGGCATTGCAGCCTTCCTCTCAGTCTGTGCAGTACCCAGCTGTCTCTTACCCACCTCAGCACCTGTTGCCAGTTTCACCATCACAGCAGTTCCCAGTGGTACATCTGATTTAATTCTCCTAGTCTCGAGTCTTTGGGCCTGCGCTGCTTGCTTGTGTGTGTTTAGTATAATAATATTTGCCTTTTCTGTTACATTCCATATGATGTACAGTAAATCACCTGACCAGATTTTATTCATGCCAGCTGAATGCATGCAACAAAATGAGACAGGCCTCTGCATCTCACCAAGAGCTGCATACAGTCTTGATTTAGTATGTGTAATACAATGGGCTAAATAGGAGCTGTTGGAGTCTCCCTACATACAGTAGATTGTAAAGCTACTGGTGTTATGTTGTTTTTTTTGGGGAAAAGATGTACTGTAGTCTTAATCTTTCTGGCTCCATCTAAACAACTATTTCTCATTGAAAGCAGTTTGAATAGCTTCCCATGCCTGCTATATTTGTGTAGAGTGTTTAGTTGTCTCCTATCTACTGAATTAAAATGACTTTTGCATTAGCATAATTTTAAAGTTATGTTATAATAAGTTAAGTTATAAATATTTGATATATTGTAACTCTTTGATGTATTTTTTCAGAAGTATGCATTAAGATTTCCTTTGTGTGCTCAGAAACCAATGTGTGAAATTAAATACAAAAGTTTATATATGAAGTCAAGGTATTATGAAAATAAATTACATTTTAATAAACATATAAATGATAATACAAAATAAATTAGGTAGTAATTATAAGTAAATTTGAGGTAATTTTTCAGTACTGTTTGCCTGTTTGGATATTGGCACACCCCATCATTTGATTCTGAATTGCTTTGTTTTGGGTTGTAAGCTTGTATACATAATTCATTCATCTAGCATGTTTAAATAAGTTTTACAGGTCTGCTTTCAAAGTCTTTAGTTCCACCATAAAATTAACTCCTATCTTTAAAAACTTCCAATTAGTTCTGAATTGTACAAACCCCTATATAGAATCTTATCTCTCTTTTCAATTGTAAATAACTACATTTTCAAAATTTAAAATGTTTTCAAAATTTAAATGAAGCAATGGAGTGAATGCTTTGAACATTCTCCTGTATACTTAAATAACAGGCAAATAATGATGCACTTAAAATTCCTTCCTCTGAGTATGATTTTTGTTTAGAGATATTTTGCCTTTCTACCTTTTTTTTCTTAAAATACTATGGAGGAGTAGTAAAAACTGATGTCTATTATGCCAAAAAGCTTGCATGAAGATGGTATAACTGCACGTTGATATATAACTGCTTATTGTTATTTTATAAATGATCAGCTGAAATTTCTGTCTGTTTTGCAGCGGGATGACATGGCTTCACAGTTTAACCAGATGAGTCTCAGTCGACAGTCTTCTGGTGATGCCCCTGAACCTCCTCCCACTGGCTCTGTCTACCCCCCTCCAATACTTCCACAGCCCCCACAGCAGCCAGGCTATGTCGTTGCTTCCTCAAGTCAACAGATCCCCCCCGGGAGTTTCACTGGCTCTGGGCCCCCAATTCCTCAGCCAGTATTGCAGAGCCCACAATGTTTTGTCCAACAGCCTCAAGCTCAGGTATGCACCGAGGCTCATAAAGTATTATTTTCTTTTGATTGTGCCACATACAGTAACATTTCTGAAATATGGATTTCCTATTATTCTAATCTGCAGGCCAATGGTCAGGTCTTTGAGTCTTATTCCAAAACTGGGTTCCTGGTTTAAATTAAAATTAACCACCTGTTTAGACAAAAGGTAATGCTCAAAAATAATGTCCCAAATTTAATGTATCTGAGGACATCTGTCACAAGGAAGAATCTACTGAGTGCTTAAATTGTTAAATAAAGCTAAAATTGCTCAAAGTGCTCAAATTAAATAAAATTTGAATACCAAAATGGAACACTGGATTGCAATCAAAATCAAAAGAAACCGTAAAATTTACATTACCATGATCTCTGCAAACCTTTGTGCTAGGATGATACATTTACCTTTTTGAAGAAACAGACTTCATTTGGAATCGTGAGATAAATAAAGATAAATCATTAAATGTAGAAACTAAAGATGCTGTAAATTACAAAATATATGAAGTTTTCTTTGGGGGTGTACATTTACAAATATGCCAAATTTCATGGTGTATTGCTCTCATTGTTGCTTCCATGATCTGTTGCGACACAGTTTCATTATCAGAGTCTTTTTTTGTCCCCCTAATTTGCATTAAACGAAATGAGACTGGTTGCAGTGTAACTGTTAGCTTGTACTGTATGTTCTGCTTGGACTGCAGTAAGTAGCACAAGTCTCTGTACAGGTAACTATTAATCATGTTTAATTGACTTGAACATGTAGGACATGGCGGATCAGTGATTTACTGTCTCCCTGAACACTGCCTGTGTCTAGCAGTTCTGCACAAACTTCCTTTTCGTCTCAGGGGGTTTAAAAAGCAGAATATTTAATGTGATTGCTGTCACCAAAATGGTAACTTCTCTCTTTTGGATGTGCGCTTGCCTTCTCACTACCCGATTACAGTCACTGGTGACAGCCAATTATAATAGTTGAGTCTTCAGTCAAGGAAAATGCAGCACTGATCAAAACTCTAAAAAAGTGTTTTCTCTGGATTTATGTAAGAATTTGCTGCAAAAAGCACTGAAGAGATATAATGAAATTCATCTTTGAATTCCTTGTTGAGAGAATCATTTCCATAACTTGGAAATGTCTTTCAATGTACATGTGTCCCTTACTTCTTTTTACACAAAAAGCAGCCTTGTTTTTCTTTTATATTTCAGCTTACTTACAGTATATTCTTATACAGGGCTGTTTGAATTTAGTTGTTATTTAGATTGTCTTATCTATACTGAAAACTATTAAAAATGCATCATATGCTAGTGGTTTCAGTACTTAATTGTCGCATTTTTAATTATCTGTCTATCTACATTTAAGGCACCCAAAAAAATTAAACAACTATGCTATGAGTATGCAGTTTAAATTGTTAAGACCATTTCACAACATCAGAAATAGAACCATCTAAAATAATAAGAATTAAGTCTTTATTTTCTGTTTTAACATTGTGAAATGGTCATAACAGTTTAAATTGAATATTACATAAATAATTCATATACTGTAGATGTTATAGCCATCTAGTAAAATAGGAGTTTGAACTCCAGAGTAAAAACTAAAAAAACTAAAAAGAAGACCTTTAAAGGTCCTTTAGCTGTGTGGAAATAAAAACAGTTCCACATGAATGTATATATGGGCACTTCTATACGGCTAAGGAAAACTTTGTTGTTACAATTTTTAAATTGTTTAATTGTTTAAAATTAACAATTGTTTAAACTTGAAGTACACAAAAACTGACTTTTCTTTGTCTGTGTAATTCGTTACAGTATATTGCTCCATATGCAAATTTGGTTTACTTTTTAAAAAGTTTTTTTATGCCAGTCACTCCAAGCAAATCCTATCTTAGATTACAAAACTGCACTTTAAGAATAAAAACAATAATTTATTTTGTCATTGCCTATGGTATGTTGTGTTTTGTTAGACTGGCATCTTTCATTTTTTATATTACTTAGGGAAAATATTATTTTTTTCTCTGGCACAAAATTATTTGAAAAATCACCTGGCATTTAAGGAAAATACAAGCATTTCAATAAACTGTAAAATATTCATTTTTTTTATTATTCTCCAATAACTTTAATGGCACTGGTTCATTTAAAAAATATACAGTGGGGTAGTAAGAATCCTATCTATCTAATCTAGAAAGGAGCAAGTAATTCTTAAATGTGTAATTTATGGTATATATTTATGGAGGCTTTTATATTACTGCAATCCACCTTTCTGTGGTGTTACGGACAGCCAGGGAAATCACTGCTTGAGCAGCTGCAGCAATCACTGAAAAAATGCAGTTCTTCATCATTCTGATCTTTATAGTTCATTCCATTTAGCAGTGTCAGCCTTTGCATTTCCATTTTGCACTTATTTGCTGTGACATGTCATTTCCAGACACTATCCTGTTTTGTCATTCGCAGATGCCAGTGTATTATTATTCATCTGGTCAGTACCCTACCTCAGCAAGTCAGCAGTATAGGCCAGTTGCATCTGTTCAGTACAATGCACAGAGAAATCAGCAAATACCACAGAATGCCCAACAAACAGGTATGATGTGTTTCATTCTTTGAGATGTTGCCATAATCTAATAAGGAAAAATTGTAATGCTGCCCTTTCATTTTTATCCTTCTGGTTGTGAGAATTTCTGTATTCTCAGCCAGGCATACTTTATAGACACTGTAATTGTTCTAGTCATGCTGTATACCATAAAGCATGCCTCAGTTACAATTCAGTTACAATACAACATTCCTTTCCAGCCTTTCTGATTTTTTCACATTGACACACACTAAACAAGGAGAGGTTATTACATAATGTTCAAGCCATTAGTTTGTTTATTTAAAGACTTTATACAAAGAATGCTCATTTTAACTGGTTAAGTGTAAATGCTTTGTTCTCACAATTTGCAAACTAACTGCTATGTATTTCCTGATGCCCCTTCTGTGTACTCCACTAAACCAGTCTTTGAGTTTTTGCAGTAGGACTGGGGGCCGTTACACTGTAAGAGATTGAGTAGCAGATCTCACAGTGAACCGGTCTCTTTTTTTGCTGCTTTCTACTCTTCAGAACAATCTACTGTAACAGATATTGGCTTTTTATCTTGTGCTTGCTTTTTCTCCACTGTATTTGTTTAATCTTTTTTTTTTAGCTATGCCAGTAATTTAATTTTTTAACAATAGATCTTTGATTAAACTTTCAGTGTATAGAAATGCCTGAGTGTATGTATTTAAAATGACTTTATTTTGCTATATTAATATTCTGTTTTCATTACATGTTGGTAATTTTCATTTTCACAATGATGAGCAGTTCTGCATTTATTTACAGTATGTGTTGTGTTGGTGATTTTGTCTCTCAGTTCTTCACAAGAGCTTTTTCCTCTGTGTGCGGTCAGCATTATTTTTTGTTTTTTTATTGCTAGAAATATATCTATAGAAAACCAAGCAATTTTATAAATATTGGTTTTATAAATATTATCTTTAGGTTTCTCAATTTCATAACATTGTTATGATACTTACAGTATAATGAATATTACTATTAGCTGCAGAAGTTTATAATGACATTTTCAAGAACCACAAAAACTAGCAACAGGCTGTTTTGTAAATAAATATGTTTGTTTCAAACACTGGACCTTTCATAACATACATAAAGATGACAACCAAGATTCAGAATGAGTACTGGAAACCATTATAAGAATTGATGTGAACTATCCTTATGTTCATTTTTTGAATGCTTTGGTGATGTGGTTCTACACTAAGTGACAATAAAATGTAATAGTACCACTTCTCACTTTATATCTTCTTCATGGAGTGAAGTTACATTAGGACACATAAGCCTGAGAAAACTACAAAAGAAAAAAATATTGGTTTAAATAAGTAGGTCATACCATCTGCGTATTGTTGGTTAATTCCTGGTTAACACTCTTTGTCTCAAAAGACGTTAGAGTCTCTGAAGACGTAAGAGCAGGAGGGTGCATCAGAATGTAAGCTTCAGAATAATAAACTGAGGTTATAATGAATATAAAAAACATACTGTAATGTTTCTGCTAGGAAACCTCTTTCAGAAGAGGTTTTCCTCTGAATGCAGAAGGTTTTCCTCTGAATGCAGAAGGCTACCCTGTAGACATGTTTTTCTTCCTTCTTTTTACTTTTTAGTGTGGAATTAGCCTACTCCTAATCATTTATCTTTGTGCAGGTGGTACTTAGCTACAGTAAGTAGCCTAAAAAAGCTTCTGAAATGGTTTCTTAACGATGAAAAAGAGTAACTGTACAGAGTAAACAAAATAAGGAAATACCTTGCCAAAGTAAGAATATAACATAAATCTAATAGCAACAGCAGTATACATTACCATACTGTTTTTTTTTTTTCCTTTAGAGCAGCTTTTTTGGTTTTGTGGGTTTTATTGTGATACTAAAACTGGGTAGTCTCAATAATGTTATTGCTGTATTGTGTTATTGTTAAAGTTTTTTAAATAAAGAATGCAGAGATTAAGAGAACATCACAGGAATTAAATCAAAAGGCTGATTGGGAGGTGTGTTGTATTTTCTAGCACACATTCTTAAAATCAAACCACTTTGGCTGACGGACAACAGCCTGATCATGAGGGCACATTATTCATATCAAATCAGGATTCTGGACACTCTGCAAGTCTCTTATTCCAGGGGTTGAAATCGCTCGGAAATGAACAGCACTCCAGCACTTACCAGAAAAAAAGTGTTATTCTTGTTGTTCACATTGAGTCCTTTATATGGCAAAAAATACACACAACTGACAAACTGACTTGATTTTGCTTATGGTGTTCAGAAGCTTTCAACATTTTGAAAACAGTTACTTTAAGCTGCCCCACTGCTATGGAAGTTGATTAATTGAACAAATATTGACTCCATATTTACATACAGATGCAGCCATTCAAAGTGCGTGGTACAGACACGTACCGGAGGTAATTGGCTATGGTGTCGCGCATCGTGACGCAAGATGACGCGGGGTACTGCGGTACGTGATTGGTGGACCGACAGGGGCACTCGTGGTCCGTTGGTCTGTCGTAGAAAGATTTACAGTAAACGTCTTTACTGTGCCCGTTGTAGTATTGAATATTCATATGGAATTTTACCACTGAAGGGAAATCTTAGTAGCTGAGCATAAAAAGAATAGGAGCATATGGCCACATCTGTAAGAAGGTAGGTATCAGACTGAGTTAGAGTCATACTGACTTACTGTATTGAAATTAATCAGCTCAAGTTAGTATTTCATATAAGAAACAGGTAAGTTGTCCTGGGATCAATTAGATACTAGCAACCAAAGGAACATGATGGCTTTGTTATAATACTCTCTGCATTTCTGTACTCACCAGATATGCAGCTTTCTAAATGTTTTTTTTTCTCTAAGAACATAAAGATTACAAACAAGATTACACTTGGCCCATCACCATTGTTTGGATGTTAATAGTGAATAGATTTATGTACTATATCTATTCATACAAAATGTATTGTTTTTATTGTGTCTCTATGCTCTTTGTAAACAACAGAATGTTGGTCTCAGCACAGAATGCCTGCTCCCTTGCTAAATTGTGAATTTTCTTGTGCGCACATTACACAGTTCCTACTGCTTCTGTTGTACTTCTAGTCTATACCTGCTGATAAGTCTACTTAATTCACTCAGATTTCCTCTCTGCAGCACAGAAGCACTTAAACTCAAACTGCTGTTTCTTCTAATGCTTCTGCACTCTCTGTCAGCACAAGCATCTCAGCCACTTGCCTTTGGCCACAGCACTTTAACTGTATTATCTCTGTTTATCCTCCAGTACACATTGTTTTTTGTGTTCCCCCTCACATAGCCTACGCCCCCACTTCAAAAGGCTGCTGTCATAATTTAGACATTTCACCTCCTTCCTCTGACTCTGCTGGCATGTGACCTGGAAGAGCTCCAGCCCATGATTCTCGCCATTCCTTTAATTCTAAAAAAACATTCTAGAACCCGAATTATTCTTTGTTTCTCAAAAGACATTTCTGTATACTTTCTCCCACTCTGCATTGGCCCCTGATGCTGCCTTCCCTGCTCCTGCATTTCACCAGATGCCTTCTCAAATGCCTGCCAAACAGCAGCCATACCCTTAACCAAAGATATATGACTTGTTAATTCTATAAAGTGCTTACCCTGTTTCTTAATTTTTACCTTGATCCTCTGTGTTCCCATAAAAAAGGCTTCA